ACTATTGATTCGGAATCAAGGTTTTACAACTTCAAGCACGAGAAAATCCGACTGGCTTCAGACCTGGTCGTGGTTGCATCGACTACATACCATTAGTCAGGTTCTGGAACACAGACATGCATATCGGCGTCCGACAATGATAGCTTTCGACTTAAAAGCAGCACTTGATTCTGTAGACAGAGAGGTTCCGTGACAGTGTCTGTCATTGAAAGGTGTACCTCAGAATTACATAAACATTGTGAAGGCTCTTTACTCGAACACTACTAGTCGAGTCAGAGCTTATGAAGTTACATGATTTCGTAACCTCAAGTGGTGTCCGGGAAGACTATTCACTATCTCCATTCTTGTTCAATTTCACCATAGACCTACTGCTCGAAATAACATTCTCGTCCCCTAACTCTTCAGGAACTGATCTCCTTCCGGGAGGTTCACTTATCGAATTAGAATATGCAAATAATATAGTCCTGATTGGTGAAGACGCTGACAAAATGCAGAGTCTTTTAATAGCACTGAGCAACAATACCAGGATGTTTCGGATGCGTTTCTCTTCCTCTAAATGCAAGTTGTTGCTTCTGGACTGGCCTGAGTCAACACCTGAACTAAGGTTAGGGAGTAAAGTAGTCGAAAGCATCGACACCTTCACTTGTTATCTAAGTCTGATCAGCTCTAATGAGTTGGTGTCTGACGAAATCCCAGCACGGATTCGAAAAGCTCGATTGGCTTTTGCCAACTTACGTCATCTATGGCGAAGGCGAGATATCCGTCTATCAATAAAAGGACGATTATACTGTGCGGTAGTTCGTTCCTTTCTACCTTACGGTTGCGAAACATGACCATTGAGAGTAGATACTCGTAAGCTACTAGTATTTGACAACAGATGTCTTAGAAACATTGCTCGCATCTGCTGGGATCACCGGGTAAGTAATAGTGAGGTTGTGAATCTTCATCGACTGAGATGGTTGGGCCACGTGTTACGTATGCCTGAATACCGATTACCACGACGTGCAATGCTATCCGGTATTGGAGATGGTTGGAAGGAAGTTAGGGGCGGCCAAACCAAAACGTGGCATCAGTGCTTGAAGTCACTAACTTCTAGTCTGAGCCATGTTGGTAGATGCAGACTACTTGGTTGGAGTCCACATGACTATCGTAACCTATGGTTGGAGACTCTGTGTGACATGGCTTAGAATCGATCACAATGGCGTGGGTGTATACACTGGGTGTCTGCCCTTCAACCGTGAGATTAAAATTACTTTATGTCTTTTTTTCTGTCAACTAACTCTTTCTCCCTGTTTTATATCCTGCTGAGCAATCTTAGCTTAGCCGAATTCAGAACAAGTAAGATTTTTAGCTTGATAAACTTTTTCTGCTTCTAAAATGTAAATTAAAACTGTTTGTATACAAAATGAATAATTAATACAGTCTAATAAACAGGGGCGTTGGCAGTTCATCAATTCAAGCTTGAACACTGCATACAAAAGCATTACGTGCAACCTCTCATCCTTCCGTGGCACTAACATCCTATTCTAGTATGTTTTGGTCTCATTTTGTTTTTATTGTTACTTTGTCCTTTCTTCAAACTGTGATCAGTTATTATTATCCTCTAACAACTTTTCCCAAGATGATTATTCAAATGTTATTATAACCTTTATGTCTTTTGTTTCATCTTCAGTTCTGTTAACTTGATAATGAGTTTTATTTGAAATATTATTATTCATACTACCTTACTGTGTAATAATGACAAATCAATACATTTTAAACTTTTATTTCTAACATTTTCAAAGTACTATACGTACTGCTGGTAAATACAATCTAAATTCATATTGATTACGATGGAGCAATTTCGTGAATTAGCTGAAGTTAAACAGTAACACCGTTGGATGTCGGCCGGCTCAGTGGTCCAGTGGTTAAGCACATGCTCATGAGACTGATAGGTCCTGGATTCAAATCCCGCGGGGTGCGGGATCGTGGATACGCACTGCTGAGGAGTCCCATACTAGGACGAAACGGCCATTCAGTGCTTCCAGGTTTTCCATGGTGGTCTAGCATCAATTGACTCATGATTTCAATCTGTGGAATTTCTAAAATCTCCACAAACCCCTTCTGATAAAATCAATACATTATTATGACCTTGTATAGAAATTAATTATACTGCTTTAATATTTTCAACACCGCCCCCAAATGCCCTGGTACGGCCGAGAGTGGGGAGAGTCCGCTCTCCCTCTCCAAATGCTCTCACACGGCCACACGTATATAGCCTCTGCCAGGGAAGTCCTACTCACTGCCTTCTCGTGGCGAGGGTGTTGTTTACGAAAATGAGAGGACGAAAAGCGAATGTTTGGCGCTTTAACCGGATTCAAAACCAATGGTGCGCATGGGCTCCAGTATCCTGCGAGAACAAATGGCGTATGAACCAATCGTTGGTCACCGGCTTCCATGGGACTGCATCTCCTTACGATGCTCCACTGCCTTGTGGATCAGACCTTCAGGTCGAAGGCTCGGGGTGTGGCCCCCTAAGAAAACCACCTGCTTCGGTTTGGGCACCTGGGCAGTATCACAGCCCTCACACATATCGAATGAGATTTGTGTGGCGCATATGTATTTGGTGCCTCTTTGTACCATTATGTATGTGTTGAGATAAGATAAGATTTTCAACACCATTTTTAATTGATCTTCATTATTTGTTCAAATGAACTCTGATGTAAAACAATTTAGTTTTGAGAAATTCCTTATTAGTGGGGTAAACAGTTCAATTTAATCGTACATAAACCAATATATTTGATCTTGATCATAATTAGTCAACATTTGGATCATTTTAATTATTTTTTCTTAGAATGAAAAATTAAACAAATTAATTCTGATATAAACTAAACTATTGAGAGCATACAATGGAGGAATAGCTTAGAAGGTCAATTAAACAAATAGTACAAGATAATATAATAAAATGTGAATGATTCATTGGAATTACTAATAATTATACTAAAGTTGATGGTAATAATAATCATACTATGGGTGTATAAATGTCAAATATAATATCTATACACTATACCATTGGATCATTCGAAATTATTTATTTATTTTAACGCATAGATGTTGGTACAAGGAGGCACCAAATACATATGCGTCACACAAATCTCATTTGATATGTGTGAGGGCTGTGATACTGCCTGGGTGCCCAAACGGAAGCAGGTGGTTTTCTTTGGGGGCAACACTCGGAGACTTCGACCTAAACGTCTGATAAACAAGGCAGGGGAGCAATGTAAGGAGATGCAGTCCTATGGTAGCCGGTGACCAACGATTGGTTCATACGCCATTTATTCCTTTACGATACTGGGGCCCATGTGCACCACTGGTTTGGAATCAGGGTTTTCCAACTCCCCTAGGTGGACCCTCCATGTCCACCAATCCGGTTAAAGCGCCAAACATTCGCTTTTCGTCCTCTCAATTTCGTAAACAACACCCTCGCCACGAGAAGGCAGTGAGTAGGACTTCCCTGGCAGAGGCTATATACACGTGGTTATGTGAGAGCATTTGGAGAGGGAGAGCGGACTCTCCCCACTCTCGGCCGTACCAGGCCATTTGGGGACTCATTCGAAATTAATTTTCTGATAATGTTTGCACAGATAACTTGTATCCAATAATTGTTAATGAGGAAACTAACACGAGTATAGTTCAATGAGAAAAGCATGTAAGTATGTGGTGTGTGTGAATGTAAAAGGTTTTGTGATAATGGATAAATTATATAATTTACAGCCTGAACTGACTTTCGTTATATAACCAATGGAAATCAGGAACGATTGGAAAGCTATATATAGTTCTAGTACGGAACTACTTAACGGTGGTCCTCAATGACCTTATTGCAGAGGCGGTGGTGATGAGACTGAGAGAAGCGATTTTACCGGCGACCAACCTAAAAGATGTGGATTCGTTATATGGATGACATATTCGTCATCATCACATGGGACGAGCTACAAAACATCTACACTCTGATAAATAACGTCTTTGATGACATAAAATTCACAACAAACTATCATTCGTCTATGTATTGATCACCAGAGCCGAAACAGGAGAACTGGAGAAGCCAACACATCAGCAGTAATGGAATCAAATACAGAAATCAACAAACGGATCATCCTACCATATATAAATGATATATCAGAAATTACGAGATGATCGAGGTTGTGTGGAATAGGTATAGCACACAAACCAAAAATATCACTTCAATCAACCCTATGCAAGCCAAGGAACGAAATGACCAAGAAAAACCAAACATCGTCTACAAAATAAACTGTTCCGATTGTAAAAAGCGCCCCCTTTATCTTCGCCTTCATGAACATCAATTAGTGGTCAAATGCCATGAAATATCTTCACTTTTACCAATTCATGTGAACAACTGTGGATACATATTCAACGGGGGAAATGTTGGGATCCTGGATAGTGGGAATGCTAAGAACAGAAGGGAAGTTTTAGAAGCTCGGCACTCATCAACCAACTAACACATCGAAATCGATCCAATCTACCAGTCAATCAGAAAAACCATGGGCAAATATATACCCAAGAATCAGATCAAAGGGGATACAATAAAAATAAACAGGTAGACGATGACAGGTTAAAGATCAACAACAGTCAATCAAGATCGAGGTCGACAGGACAAACTGAGAGTTATATGTGGAGAAGTTCGAATATTTCTCTTCTAACCCAAATTTGTGCTGATGATATTGTTCTGAAGAACTCAGTCAGTCAGTAACAACGGTTAACTAAGAGAACAAAACTGCATAAAATCATCCACCTGAGGTATAAGTTTTCTCTACTATGTTAAAAAGGCGATATAGAGTTATTACTTACAAATTATTAATTAAATGAACTCTATTACACCTGACGGGTATGGAAAACCCAACTAACAAAATACTCTTTTCATTTTTTTTTAGTCAGAAATCTTTTGCTCTATCATTTGGTCTCATATAATAAAATGAAGAAACGTAGTATTGATAACTATTTCATTCTACTATAATTACTTCATTATTGATTGAAAATTAATTAGTTTAGGTGCAAGTTAACTTTATTGTACATACTGAATAGGATTCTGTGGACATTTAACAGCTTATTATTAGCATTTAACATAAACAATATAGTTGTCATGGTCTAGTAGACAAAACTATGAAAGATGATAAATAACATACTTATCAACTACATACGTATATATCACAATCAAAATAGATTTATCGAAAAATATATACAATTCGGAAAAATTTCTATAAATACAGTGTATTGATAGTAGTAGCAGTAGTAGTCAGTAGTGGTGGTAGCCATAATGCTAGATTGATACACAAACAAATAAAAACATAAATCATTAGAGAAAAAAATAAAAAGACGCAATAATTTTCTTTTCATCTATCTATACATTAGAAAATTTATTCCGATAATCATCTTTTAAACAAAATAACTTCATAGGTTCATAAACTAAAACAACCCAAAATGAATGAAATGTTGTTTGGATAAGACGAGCGGATAAACCTTTGGAAAACCAACGTATTCCTTCAAATTGCCATAAATGAATAACACTTTGTTTGAATGGTATATGTGAAACCTGAGTATTATTTGAAGATGAAAGATAATAATACTATCAATAATAATAATAATAATAATAATAATAATAATAATAATAATAATAATAATAATAATAATAATAATAATAATAATAATAATGGAAACTTTAAAATTCATCAAATATAATAGTAGATGAACACAAAGATCCATTTAAGAAAAACCTTCTTATTAGATATTTTCAACCATACTTTAGTTGTTATGATTATTTAGATTAAAAAAAAGATAGAAGCGCTCCACAAGAACAGTCGAACTGATAAATACAAATTGAGGTGGTCATTCTAGATAATTCATCTTTCAGCCCCAATGTAACCATTGGGCGCGTAGAAAATACTAATCGCAGTTCTCCGGCGTTAAAGGACTGTTGTATTGTCCTACATAATCTCTGAGTTAGTATTTCACTGGTCGCATCCCCTCTGAATTGTAGACGCATGAACAGGAATTTCTTCTTCACTGCTTGTATTTCGCCTTCGTGACGATATATTTAATTATAAACGTTCTAGGGTAGCCGTTCTCCTGAGAGTATTATGCAAGGTGTTAAGCTCTTGTAAAACTATATCAGCAGAACATATAGTGCGTATACGGTAACTAAGGGTTTTGATCAAGTTTCGTTTGTACTGTAGAGATACAAAGCTCAGGAAATTCGTATACTGCCCAGTCCATGTACTTTTTCTGTTTAGGTTCCTTTTTAACTATCCATCCACTCCCTTAGTCAAGAGAACGTCCAAAAAGGCTATTCGGCCATCACTCTCTTCTTCAGATGTAAACTGAATGGCTGGATGCACTTCATTAATAATTTATATTCTGAAAAATAATAATTACAGAATTCACGCCAGTTTACAGGCATGATCAATTTGATATAAATAATAACATTAGACGTGCAGAACAAACATGTGATAAAAGAAGGTTTTAAGTATACTAGTTCAGTAGGTGTTTAATTAGTACATATATTACAGCGATCCAATGCATCAGCCGGGAGTTTTTAATATTTCTTAAATGGACAGCCTGTTGATTTATGAACGGTGTAATTAAGGTCAATTCGTGTGCCAGATCGAAATAATGATAATTATCTACAACTAGAGAAATTAAAACGAAAACAGAGAGCACGGAACAACAAAAAAGTAATTACCAAAATATATCAATCAGGTCTACCTAAATGCGTGTGTCATGTGACACAGTGATATACTGTTTATGTTATTCAAATTAGTTAAAGTTGCTGGGGACGGTGTTAACATAAAGTGCCAACAAGTAGGTGGTTTTGCTTAGGGGATTCACTAATAAAGATGGCTAAACATTTAAGGTTTCTAAAATATCACTTGTGGAATGAGATACACTTAAAGGCACTAGACCATTCAATGCATTTTCAGAGGAGCAGTATGCATCGATGCAGCGAACAAATAATGGGAGTGATTTTATCGTGCGGATAGATTGTGGTAGGTTATTCCAGAGTCTAGAAAATTTACAGGTGAAGTAATTCATATAAAGAGATGATTTAGAATGAGTTTGTTTCACTAGTGCCAAGGAATTATGGATGTCATAATGAGAGGTTTCTGCATATTGAATCGCGTGATCGGATGTAAACGATAGTTTATGAAGTAGTTTGAAGAAAAAGGTAAGATTTAGTTTGAGTCTCCTCCTCCATAAAGGGTCTAGCCCAAGTTTATTACATCTAAGGTACAATCAGCTCCAAGAATACGAAGTGTAAATCATCTCTGTACTGATTCCAGCCTTAATTTATCCTTTATGCGCGCACTGCTAAGAATAAACGTGCAATATTCTAGAAGAGGTCGAGCACAAACTTTGTGCATTAGAATACGTGACTCAGTATTGTAAAGATTTCGAGTTATGTAACCTATTAGACGTTGAGACTTAGAGGTCTGTTTTAATATATGTTCTGTAAATGACAAGTCTTGGGAATATCTAAGTCCTAAGTCTACTACTGTATGTAACCTAGATAACACTTCTCCATTTATGGTAATGTCTAGGTTGAGTGATGTATCGCCGAAGCATATCCATCCACATTTAGCCGTATTAAGCTGCAGTTGCCATTTTAAGCACCACTGTGCTACCTTGTTAAGCTCCATGCTGATGCAATTTTGCATATTTTTCAGGTCATGTGGAGAAAATGAATATACTACTTTAAGATCATCTGGGTATAGAAGGGGCTTACCGACACAAAAACTTTCACAAATATCCTTGATAAACACTAAAAAGAGCAAAGGACCTAAGACACTACCTTGTATTACACCACTTCTAACAGGGACAGTGTTAGACAATGAAGAGTTAATTTTAACTATTTGATGTCGATTGCTGAGAAAAGAATCAAACCAAGCAAGCAAAGGATTTTGAACCCCATAAGGTGCGAGCTTACCTATAAGAAGTTGGTGGCTAACCATCTCAAAGGCTTTTGAAATGTCCAGATATAGCACTAAGACTAGATATCCTTGGCTACGTAGAGAATAGACTAAATTAAAGAAGTCAAAATGACATGCCATGCAAGAACGATTTTTAAGAAATCCATGTTGAGTATCATTGATAAATTTTCCAGCAAGTAAATAGTTGGAAAGTTCATCACTTATAATTTTTTCCATAATCCTAGAAATAACTGGAGTAATATTTATTGGCCGGTAATTGTTCATGTCAGTCTTATCTCCAGATTTGTAACGTGGTATGATGTACGCGGTTTTCCAACAGTAAGGGTAAGAACCGTTTTCCATAGAGAGAGTAAACAGCTTTAGAAGAAGAAGTGGAATATCTGGACCACCATATTTGTAGAGAAATGATGAAATCCCGTCTACTCCATGACCTTTCGAAAGCTTAAGGGTATTTATAGCCTTATTAATTTTCATGCATGTAAAGGAGATAGATTTTATTGAGTTGCTAGTCACGCACATAACTCTTGAAGCATAGCCACTTATGTTTTCTACACCATTCGCGAATATACTACTGAAAAGGTCGGCCATGGTTTTAGAGTCTTATATAAAAGTGCTATTATGCTGGATGCACGGTATATCAACATTTCGAGTTGCTTTAGTGCGTTTATTGAAAAGGAGAGTTAAGTTTTGTACTTTCGAGTTAGTATTAAGGGCTAACAGCTCCTCATTAATGGCTTTTAACCTATGTTTCTCTTTAATTTGATTAAAAATTATTGTTATTTGTGCAACTGCTGTGAAGTCGTTTGACTTAAAATAACGATTCTGTAGGTGTTTTAGTTTATTACGATATTTAGCTGGTATATATAATTCGTAAGGTTTAATAAACCTGTACGTTTTAAGAGGTACACTAGAATCTAAACAAGAGTTAGTGATCAGATAGAATTCGTCGATAGCATCCATGAGACTATCACATGAAAAAAAGTTATCCCAGTCTGAAAGTTTAATCAATGAATGCAGGAGGTCCCAGTCAGCATGCTTATAGTCTCTATATTGACAGGTTTTTTGAATGGGTGGGTTATAAGAGAGATAGATAGGGAGAGCGCAAACTACTATCTTATGGTCACTGCTTTCAAATTCATCATATACTTTTACAGATAGTGGGGTAACATCTCAACTAAATATTAGATCAAGTATACTATCGCCTCTAGTTGGGGTACGAACCCACTGTGACCAGCAGTGCATGTTAATGGTTGCCGAGAACTCATCATTACATGACTGACAACTACCGGTACTCCAGTTGATCCCAGGATAATTGAAATCCCCAGTGATAACCTTAGCATTAAAGTTTAGAGAAGATGCATGTATGAATGCATTGATAATAAGATCATTCCCATTATTCGAACTATCAGGAGCTCTGTATATACATCCAAGGAGTAGACTATGATTCAGGGTGTTGACTGGTATCCAGACTGATTCTGGTAAACTATTCAGGACAATATCTTCAACATTATTAGTTGTTGGGGTATCCAAAGCATATATAATGCAACCACCTCCTCGCCTAGTTTCTCTGTCGCAGCGATAGATTCGATAGTTCTGGATATTTAATTCTGAATTAGATACTGCTTGAGAGCACCATGTTTCAGTGATAAGTATGAAAGAAGGTCTGGTTAGAAAAGCTAATGTTCTCAAGGCTGAAATTTTGTTCAGAAGTGAACGTGCATTGATAAGTAATAAGTTCAAAAAGGGAGTGTGGAGTGTAAAAAAACCGAGAGCTTCCCTATTGATGTTATGTAGTTTGGATTTGCATAGACTGTGGTTTATTATGTTTGACTGATCGTATGGGCTATCGCTTGAACAAACTGTATTGCTAGTGGGACCAGGGATTTCTAAAGGCCAAAAAAATCATTATTTTGATAAAGTGGGTTAATTTGTTGAACTTGATTAGGCGAACAGTTAAGACAGGCACCTGCCAGTTGGGGTTGGGTTGATGTTGAGTAACCTAGTAATCCATCTTGCCCAATGAGAAAGTGCTGAAAATAGTTATGTCTTACAGGTTTATTATTTAAAGCGTTCGATGTTGAGTAAATCCATTGGCCGGATACCATCAGCAATAGCCTTTTGTGGAAGAGAACAAACCAACTTCCAGCTGAAGAAGAAATTAGGAGAAGACGATGGAAATGGATAGGACATACATTACGCAAATCGTCGAACTGCATCACGAGGCAAGCCCTAACTTGGAATCCTGAAGGGAAGCGAAAAAGAGGAAGGCCAAAGAACACATTGCGTCGGATAATAGAAGCAGATATGAAAACGATGAATTACAACTGGACGGAGCTAGAAAGGATTGCCCAGGACAGAGTTGGATGGAGAATGCTGGTGAGCGGCCTATGGTCCTTCACGAGGAGTAACAGGCGTAAGTAAGTAAGTAAGATGTTGAGTAACCTAGTAAACCATCTTGCCCAGTGGGAAAGTGTTGAGAATAGTTACGTCTTACAGGTATGTTATTTAAAACGTTTGAGGATAACCGTAGGGTGCGTAGGTTCATTGTGGTCTGTCCAATATTAGGCCTGCTTACATAATGATTGCAGTGGCCATCTTATGAGACATT